AGGGCCGAGACGGAGCGCTCGCATCGCGAAGCAAAGAGTCGCGCAAGCCACAGAAGACAGTCAATCGATGCCGCAGGCGCCAACCCGACGTCGCGTGCCCTCGGGCGCTGCACCAACACGTATTCAGCCAGCCAGGCAATGGAAAGGGAAGCGACGACCTTATCTTGCAGAAGACAACGATGGGACTGAGAAGAGCGAAGGACAGGCGAAGAGGCGCAGACGGCGAGGCTGAGAGACGGGATATACGTGGTGCTTCTACTGTTGGTCGGCGGAGCGTGATGCTAATTCTAGTTTATGTTTGCTAATGCGGTGCTTGGATTATAGTGGAATAAGAGCTTTGATATCAACATGCAAGATGATTGTGATGAATGCGAGTCGACGACAAAATCGACATTGTAGGTGGCTTATTGTTGTGGAAGCGAGCGTTGGAGGTGCGCTGATAATTCTGCGTATTGCCATGTCGTGCATATTGTCATATCGTGCATATGTAGTACAGGGTGCACTATCGGGAACTGTGTAGCCGAAATCTGACGAGTGGTTTGCAAGTTGCGCGTGGTTTACATGGATCGGCGCGCCGAGTCAAATGACGGGAGTTGTTTATAAAGTTGTAACATGATTAGCGGCAGCGGCAACTTGGGGAACCGGGGGACGGTCGGTGGAGCCCGGCTGGAAGGTGGACGGGAATGGTATTGATGAACGACGGTAAGTGAGATGCCGTGAACGACGGTAAAGTGAGATGCCGTGGACGCTAAGGAGTGTGATGAAATTGATGAAGAGAATCAGGTGGTACGATTGTCAAAGTCAAGGAAATGTGATGATGCTATTTCGGGCCACTGGTACGGAGTTATCCTTACGGAGTAAATAGTGGTGAGATGATTTAGTTTGTTGCAGGTGGTTACAGGGGAGTCGGTACGGTGCATGGATGCTGTGCAGGTCAATATGAGCGGTAATGTATAGTGGTAGCGTGGTGATTTTCTCAGAGATACCTTAGGCCCACTGTAGGCATGTAATTGTTAGGTACCTTACCTTATTGATATCTTGTATAAGTGAGGCAAGTAGTACCCGGTCACCCGGCGGTCAACGGGATAAGCCAAGAGATTTGACGGCTCAGGGAGAATTGAGCAAAGGCTGCATTCATCAACCAACACACATGTAATCACGGCCATGTTGAGACTAATCAACACCGTTTTTCGATTAACTAAACGCCCCCCATCTGCATCTCCTCGGGGCCGTAGCGCGCGCCGCTTCGTTGTGATCTCAGTGACCCGCAGCGGGGCCCGAAGCGGGGCGCCCATCGGCCGGCTTCAAACTGTTCCGGCTCACGGCTTGGAACTTGACTGGCTGCACCTGCTCAACCACGTCAACCTCGAGTCCTCTCACTATCCTTTTTGACTTGCCACTGCTTGCCCATGCGTGCCAACCCATGATCCAATTCCCGCTCGTCCTTTGCGACACACCTATCAGTACGCGGCGCTGCGCCCCCCAGTCGCCCATCTCATCAGAGACACGCACTGGCACTATTTCGTTTCGTCTACGTCGCCCTCCCTCAACGCTAGTCCGACCCCGTGAAGGGCGAGCTTTTACGGGGCGCCTCGTGCTGTCTGGGCCATTCACTGGTCGTTGTCGCTGTCATGGCTGGCTAGAGACTGAATTATAATAATCACACTCGCCTCCTGGAAAACCGTCTCGCATCCAAACATGTTTCCTCCTCTACTCGCCGTACTAATTCACCTCACTGCGCTACCGCCTCGCAAGCTCAAACACCAACAGTAGCAGCCGCCCCTCGTCTCATCTCCATATGGGCCGCGCCGTTGACTAGCACCACCACAAAGCTCTGCTGCACTTGTCCTTGGCCCGCGCCAGCCCAGCCGTTGAGCCCAGCTGTTTCGGAACACGCAGCATTTCGCGTCCCTCACTTGCCTCTGCGTCTTGCTCTCTGCTCTTATGTGTAATCGCCCGCCCACGCTCTTATCAGAAACCATGAATACTACCGCCGACTCGTCCCGCCTCGGAGGCGTCTTTGCTACCATTGGCCTGCTCACGGCCGTCGTCGCCGTCACAAGGGCTATGCAATTTGTGAGCGTCTACCTGCTGCCCTCCCGCATAGCCCGCTATGCCCATGCCACCAACGGCCACCCGCCCTGGGCCCTGGTCACAGGCGCTTCCGACGGCATCGGCCGTGGCTTTGCCGCTGAGCTCGCCAAGCAAGGCTTCAACGTTGTGCTACACGGCCGCAACCGTGCGAAGCTCACATCTGTCATGTCCCAGCTGCAGGAACGCCACCCTGACAGGTGCTTTCGCATCCTCATCGTCGACGCTAGTAAAGTAGCGTGCCTCAACTGCATCCGCCCCGTACAAGGGCAGTCGCACAACCACGACCAAGAAGATGGCTCCTCTGCCGCCGCGCCTCCCGCCGACTTTGACGCGCTGCGTACCGAGCTCGACGGCCTCAACCTCACCGTCCTCGTTAATAACGCTGGCGGCGGCGCCGTCAACCCGACATTCCTGTCTCTTGGCGAATCCTCGGAAGCTCGCATCACCGGCAACGTCAGCCTCAACGCCCTCTTTCCCTTGCACCTCACTCGCGCCCTGCTCCCGACGCTGCGTCAAAACTCACCATCCCTCGTCGTCAACGTCAGCTCACTAGCCGACAACGGCCTGCCTTTGCTCGTGTCGTACTGTGCCAGCAAGCGCTTCTTGCTGACCATGACGGAAGCTGTTGTTCGCGAGATGAAATTGCTCGGAAGGGGCGGCGATGTTGAATTACTGGGTGTTCGAGTCGGCAAGACCACCAACACGGCCTACTTCACGGAAAAGCCGTCCTTGTTCACACCAGATTCCCAGACCATGGCTCGTGCTGCCCTCGAAAAGGCCGGCTACGGCCACGGCGTCGTTGTAGGGTACTGGGCTCATGCTTTGCAACATCTTCTCATAAAGTCCATGCCCCTCTGGGTCAAGGACAGAGCCTTTATTGCGGCTATAGAAATGGAGGCGGCAACTGATCGCAAAATTATCTAGGACACATTTCGACTTTTTTTTCTTCTTTTGTTTCTTTTGGCGTTGGTGGGATACTTCCTTTTCGATTGGGAGCCATAGCAATGTTGCATTATCATCCTTGTAATTTAGCCTTGTCGCACTTCTGATACCAATAGTGGCTTGAAAAGCAAATTTGACTCTCTCTGAATCATTTCATTTCATCTCAAGTCCAGCCAAATCTACCAGCATCATCGAATTCATGTACATCGAAAAACCGCCAAGCTTCTGACAGCGGGCGGGGCAGGTCGAGCTTGAGTTACGTGGGGCAGAAGGAGGTTGGGCGGTATGACTCCCACCTCACCAGGCTGACTGCATCGACAAACGCGCGAGCCATGACTGACCTTCCCCAGGGATCTGGAGGCGAATACTTTCATTAACTCGAACTTTTCATCGCTCGAGTTGTAGCGCCAAGCAATCGACCCCTCAATCGACCCCTCGATCGACCGAAAATATCCCAAACTTACCCCCTCCGACACAAGACGACATCATGGCTCACGAAACAGAAGCAGAATGGCGACAGCAGTTCGAGGCGATGCAAGCTGCCATTGCCAGCCTCAACCTATCAGGCTTCCTGCCGGGGCCAATCGAGTCCGATTTCTACGACGCCGATTTCGAGGGATATTCATCAGGCAACAGTGGCCAGGATGTCTGGGATTTTATTTCTGGCGACGAGGCGGACGACTACAGCAGCGACCTTGTTGAAACGGATGCTGCGCCCTCGGCCAGCGGCAGCTATGACATCGCCTGGCTTTCAAATAAGTGTACCGCTATTGCGTCCAAAAACGGACTCTCGGAAGACGTGTATGAGGCGCAGATTCTCAGCGCCATCAGCTCCGCAAAGTCTGACGAGGAGCTGCAAATAGAACTGACAGACCTTTTCGGATTCGACGATCTCGATTTTATCATCGAACTTCTTGCGCACAAGGACGAAATCAGTGCATCGAGTGCGGCTGCTGTGTCCCTTGGTGACCAAGCCACCGGCCGTTTGCTATCCAGGGCCGAGCGCGACGAGCAGCTGCGCCGTCAAGATTATGAGCATAAGAATGCCACGCTCGCCCTAAGCTTCTCGCGCGAGACGCAATACCCACACGTATACAAGTCTCATAGCGCCGGAAACACACTCAGCCATGCAGGCAAAAAATACGGCCTTCCGGCAGGCAGTGAGAGAAAGCAATTCGACAAATATGAAGAGTACTATATCCCGGCCGGCGCCAAGGGCAAAGTCGGCCCTGGTCAGAAGCTGGTCAAGATTGAAGACCTGGACGGTCTCTGCCGCAACACTTTCAAGGGCTACAAGGCGCTCAACCGCATGCAGAGCCTCGTGTACCCCGTCGCATACAAGACCAGCGAGAATATGCTCATCTGTGCCCCCACTGGTGCGGGTAAAACCGATGCTGCAATGCTCACCATCCTCCATACGATCGGCCAGCATGTTTTCCCCAACCCCATGGAAGATACTGCTGCTACGGAATTCGCCGTTAATTTGGAAGACTTCAAGATTGTATATGTTGCGCCCATGAAGGCTCTTGCTGCTGAAGTCACAGGCAAGCTCGGTAAGCGTCTTGCATGGCTCGGTATCAATTGCCGAGAATATACTGGAGATATGCAGCTCACAAAGTCTGAAATTATCCAGACGCAAATCATTGTAACAACACCAGAAAAGTGGGACGTCGTTACCAGAAAAGGCACCGGAGACACTGAGCTCGTTCAAAAAGTGCGCTTACTGATTATTGATGAGGTTCACATGCTTCATGATGAGCGTGGAGCTGTTTTGGAATCGCTTGTTGCCCGTACCGAGCGCCAAGTCGAAAGCACCCAGTCGCTTATTCGTATCATTGGTCTGAGTGCCACTTTACCAAATTATATCGATGTCGCAGACTTTCTCAAAGTCAACAAATATGCTGGTCTTTTCTACTTTGATGCGTCTTTCAGACCCGTTCCTCTGGAGCAGCACTTTATCGGTGTCAAAGGAAAGGCAGGCAGCAAGCAATCAAAAGATAACCTGGATACTGTCGCTTTTGATAAAACTAGAGAGATGCTCGAAGTTGATCATCAAGTCATGGTATTTGTGCACTCTCGGCGAGACACCATGGTCACGGCACGAATGCTACATCAGAAAGCAATCGAGTCTTTTTGCGTTGACCTTTTTGACCCGACCAGCCACCCAAAATACGAGCAGGCAGTGCGAGATATGAACTCTTCTCGATCCAAAGATATTCGTGAGCTTCTATCTAAGGGTATCGGTGTTCACCACGCCGGTATGGCACGAGCCGACCGGAATTTGATGGAGAAGCTTTTTGGCGAAGGTGTGCTCAGAGTTCTCTGCTGTACAGCAACCCTCGCTTGGGGTGTCAATTTGCCTGCCGCCGCCGTTGTTATCAAGGGCACTCAAGTTTACAGTGCACAAGATGGCAAATTCGTTGATCTTGGCATACTTGATGTGTTGCAAATCTTCGGTCGCGCTGGTCGTCCCCAGTTCGAAGACACCGGTATTGGCATGATTTGCACCACCCAAGACAAATTACAGCACTACCTCACGGCCGTCACCGAGCAACAGCCGATTGAATCAAAGTTTTCGACAAAGCTAGTGGACAATCTCAATGCAGAGATTGCATTGGGTACAGTCACGTCGATTCCGGATGCCGTCCAGTGGATCGGATACTCCTACCTCTTTGTTCGTATGCAACGAAGCCCCATCACTTACGGCATTGAATGGGCCGAGATACGAGATGACCCAAGTCTTGTTCAAAGACGTCGCCAACTGGCGATCCAGGCTGCGCGCACGCTACAGCAGTGCCAGATGATCATCTTCAATGAGACGACTGAGGAGCTGCGAAGCAAGGATATTGGCAGAATTGCAAGTCAATACTACATCTTGCATGGCAGTATCCAGGTATTCAACGCCATGATGCGCGATCAGGCCACCGAAGCGGACGTTTTGAAGATGATCAGCATGAGTGGAGAGTTTGACAATGTTCAGTCCCGAGACACTGAAGCAAAGGAGCTTACCAAACTCAAGGATGAAGTTATTCCCTGCGACATTGACAGTGGCATCGACACGCCTCAGGCAAAGACCAACATCCTTCTCCAGTCTTACATTTCGCGCTCGCAACCCGATGACTTTGCTTTGTCAAACGATATGAATTATGTCGCTCAGCAATCTGGCCGAATTTGCAGAGCACTCTTCATGCTTGCGTTAAATCGTCGCTGGGGCCATCAATGCTTAGTGCTGCTGACTCTTTCTAAGTCTATCGAGAAGCGCATCTGGCCCTTCCAGCACCCATTGCATCAGTTTGACTTGGCCAAGCCCATCTTAAACCAGCTTGACTCCAAGGAGCATCTGACAATTGAAGCCATGAAGGAAATGGAGCCTGCTGAGATTGGAGCCCTTGTCCATAATCATGGAGCTGGCAAAACTATTGCCAACATTCTTAGAAACTTTCCCACAGTGCATGTCGAAGCGGAAATCGCGCCGCTCAACAGAGATGTATTGCGAATCAAGCTCTATGTTATCCCCGATTTCCAGTGGAAAGACCACATTCACGGCACTTCGGAATCGTTCTACATCTGGGTCGAAAACTCGGAAACGTCCGAGATTTACCATCACGAATACTTCATTCTCAATCGCAGGAAGCTACATGATGATCACGAGCTCGACTTTACGATTCCATTATCTGATCCTTTGCCGACGCAAATCTACGTCAGAGCTGTATCCGATAGATGGCTCGGGGCGGAGACCATCACGCCGGTGTCTTTTCAGCATCTTATTCGACCCGACACGGAAAGCGTATATACGGATCTTCTAGACCTGCAGCCTCTGCCCCTCTCCGCTTTGAAGAATCCTCCCCTAGAAGAGCTGTATGCGAAACGCTTTCAATTCTTCAACCCCATGCAAACGCAGATCTTCCACACCCTCTACCACACAGCAGCAAACGTCCTCCTAGGCTCACCCACTGGTTCTGGAAAGACGGTCGCGGCGGAGCTAGCCATGTGGTGGGCATTCCGCGAGCGTCCTGGCTCCAAGGTTGTCTACATTGCGCCTATGAAGGCACTCGTTCGCGAACGTGTCAAGGATTGGGGATCTCGCCTTGCTGGGCCCCTCGGGCTGAAGCTGGTTGAGTTGACTGGTGACAATACACCAGATACTCGCACCATCAAAAATGCTGACATCATCATCACCACCCCTGAGAAATGGGATGGTATATCTCGTTCTTGGCAGACGAGAGGCTATGTCAGACAAGTGAGCCTGGTGATCATTGATGAAATTCATCTGCTCGCGGGTGATCGTGGTCCTATTCTTGAGATCATCGTCTCGCGAATGAACTATATTGCCGAGATGACCAAGAACGCAGTTCGCCTTCTGGGTATGTCTACTGCGTGCGCCAACGCCAGCGACCTAGCCAACTGGCTGGGCGTCAAGGAGGGCTTGTTCAATTTCAGGCACTCTGTACGTCCAGTTCCCCTGGAGCTATATATTGATGGATTCCCCGAGGTCCGAGGATTCTGCCCTTTGATGCAGTCGATGAACCGGCCGACATTTCTCGCCATAAAAAACCACAGCCCTGAAAAGCCCGTCATTGTCTTTGTTGCTTCGCGTCGACAAACTCGACTCACGGCCAAGGATCTTATCAATTTTTGTGGCATGGAGGAGGACCCTCGTCGCTTCTTACATATGGATGAGGAAGATTTGCAATTGAACCTCTCTCGTGTTAAGGACGATGCCTTGAAGGAGGCCATCAACTTTGGCATTGGTCTGCATCATGCCGGTCTTGTAGAGTCAGACCGTCAACTGTCAGAGGAGCTCTTCCTCAATAACAAGATCCAGATTCTTGTCGCAACCAGTACTCTTGCCTGGGGTGTCAATCTGCCTGCTCATCTTGTCGTCGTAAAGGGCACGCAGTTTTATGATGCAAAGATAGAAGGCTACAGGGACATGGATCTCACCGATGTCCTCCAGATGCTTGGTCGTGCGGGTCGTCCTCAATTCGACAACTCAGGTGTCGCCCGTATATTCACGCAAGATTCCAAGAAGGATTTCTACAAGCACTTTTTGCATACCGGCTTCCCTGTCGAGTCATCTCTGCACACAGTGCTCGATAACCATTTGTGCGCCGAAGTCTCTGCAGAGACCATCTTGACTAAACAGGATGCGCTAGACTATCTAACCTGGACGTTTTTCTTTCGACGTCTACACAAGAATCCTTCCTACTACGGGCTCGAAATCTCGGCCGAAGAGCACAGCACGATGACGGCGCAGCAAGTCGCCAACGAGTACATGGTGGAGATGGTCAACAACGCGCTCGATGAGCTGGCCAAGTCCAAGTGCGTCGAAGTCTTCCCCAACGGTGACGTCGACTCTACGCCGCTGGGAAAGATTATGAGTTACTACTACCTCTCCCACAAGACGATTCGCCACTTGAGCGGTCATGCCAAGGCCAATGCCACCTTTTTGGACGTGCTGTCGTGGATGTCGCGAGCTACCGAATACGACGAGCTTCCTGTGCGCCACAACGAAGACTTGGTCAATGAAACGCTGTCGGACAATTTGCCGTTTCCCGGCCACTCTTTTGGACTGCCCATGTGGGATCCCCATGTGAAGGCATTCCTCCTGCTCCAGGCGCACATGTCACGCATCGATTTGCCCATTACGGATTACGTCGGTGATCAGACCAGTGTGCTCGACCAGGCTGTTCGTATTATGCAGGCCTCAATCGACGTGCTCACCGAAATGGGTCACTTGTCGAGTTGTCTACAGATGATGAGCCTGCTCCAGTCTATCAAGTGCGCCCGCTGGCCGACGGACCCGCCAGTGAGCATTCTTCCGGGTTTGGAGCTCGAGTCAATAAAGAAGGAAACGCTGTCGCTCAAGGAGTTGAGCACCTACAGCCCGCAACAAGTGTCGCAGCTTGCCAAGCGCCTCCGCGTGCCGTCACACATTCAGAGTCGTTTTGCCAGAGCCGCGTCTATCCTCCCCAATTTATCCGTTTCAGTCGAGGACAAGACGGCACTGTCCGTGACTGTGAGCCTGAAGCGGCTTAATGCGCTGGTGGAGCGCGAGGCGCGCATCTATGCGCCCAAACTGCCGAAGCCGCAGTCGGAAGGATGGTTTGTCATTGTAGCTGACGCGGCCCGTGATGAAGTCATTGCCGTGAAGCGCGTGGGATGGTCGGCGTCGGGCTCGGACGGCCCGCGCAAGGTCGAGGCCAAGACGAAGCCCACGGCACGCACCACGATTAAGCTGCCACAAGCGGAGGGCGCACGGAAGCTGGACGTGATTGTGGTCAGCGACGCCTACGTTTGGCTGGAGTATCGCATCAATGGAGTTGATATTCCGGCGGCGCCAGCTGTAGACGATGACGTTGATTCGAAGAAGAAGGCGGCTAGTGCTGGACGTGCGTAGTAAGGCAAGTAGCCGCAATATATGTATATTTTTTCGAAGAAAGACGACCATTTAGCGTGTCAAAATTACCAACTTGTCAGCCTTCTCAACGGAGATGCCAGTACTTCCCTCGCAATCTTATGTGTAGCCGATAACTACCTTTTCCTACCAGCGCCGTGATCGTTGCACGCACTACTCAGTATGGAAGGGTTGCCCTTGATCTCTCCCCTTAAGTTGTCTGTCTGGAGACTTTGAGACCGATGCAGTAATCGTTTGGCCTTGTCGTCAGGCGCATAATTGATGCCCCTACTACCCATTCCGCTCCCAAACGTTGTTTCTACCAGGGTATTTGTTGCAATAAGTAGGCTGTTACTCATTCAAGCATGTCACTACTCTATCGGGACGCAAACGCTGTGTGGTTCCAACCCCCTTCGTCCCCACGGGTTAGGCGCCGCGCGTCCATCTGGACAGGCCGTTCCAAAAGCAAGTACGCATCTCGCACCAGCCGGCTGGGATGGACCAGCAGGTAGACGACCATGACGAGCCATATTGCCGCCGCGTCAAACAAGTACATAAAGACTTCGTGGGAGATGATGAAGCCGCGCTCGCCTTGCGCGTACTCGACAGCCCTGACGAGACTCCTCACCAGCACTAGGCTCGCAGCCACCAAGCTGGTCCAGAGGTGGGCTTTCCAATTGACGCCTGCATCCGACGCAAACAGCTTTGCCTCGCGTCGTGACAGCGCTCGCATAACGTATCCCGTCAGAATGCAAAAGAAGACGAGCACAACAAGCTGCACGAGCAATCCGCCGAGGATAATCTTGCGGCTTAGCTCGATGAGCTTGGCGTCTCCCGACGCTGGCATGACGGTGCCCGCGAGCTGGCTGAGCAGGCATAGGATGTCGATGAGAATGTAAATTTTGGAAAGCCATCTGGTGCTGATAAGAGAGTACTTGTTGGCTTGCAGGGCGTCGATGATGCGCGCCAAGCTCATGTAAATGGTGGCGGTGAGCAGGGGAGCGGCGACGAGGATCAACAGGTTCTGTTGGATCCACGGACCGAGATGGGCAGGATGGTTGTGAGAGAGAGCCCTGCCGTAGTATCCAAACGTTTCCGCTGTGCCAAGGAAAAGAAAAGCAGGGTTATTTGATAAAGTCATAGACTTGATGCTGGTGTGGTCGCAAGCTTACCGATGCCTCCCAAGATGAATGGTATGAAGATCCAAGCTTTGAGTCGGATTATGTAGCCCAAATGAGCTATAGTTGTCAAGGCGAATAAAGCCATAAAGGCGTATCCGGCTGCTTCGTTTGGTCTGTATTGGTAGAATTCAATGACCATGGTGCCATTTACAACGGGCCCAAATGGCCCATTGCCGACTTCGTATTGATCCATGTTGGTCATCTTTGCGCATGTAAAATGATGAAAAAAAAAAAGAAAAAGAAAGAAGAAAAAACCTGCTGTAATCAGAATTTAGGCAGTGAGTTGAGACGAGTATATATACTTTGGATTCCTACATCAGTTGGTGCTCGTTCTCCTTTGACTTTTGTTGTGGGTATAAGTAGCTAATATCAACCGCCACTTGTCTTAGACGCATTTTACGTATTCAGGTACGAAAATTCAAGCCAGTAATCTATGATAGTTTTTATGTTTCGTGGGACGCTTTCAGGAACAGCGCTACACATTCCCATCTCAAAAGTATATTCTGATTATGAATGCGATCTCTTGCATGTTTTGCACTACTTTACAGACTAAGGCCACAATGAAGAAACTAGCATGCTAGTGTTCAAAAAAGGTGAAGCAAGTGTCGAAACTAAAAGTATCCAACAAGCGCGTGTGACGAGTATAGAATTTACACCTATAAGTAGGGGTTCGTGCTGCCCACCAAACCTCTAGCACCATCAAGCCAGCTTCTACCTTGTTCATTATACCTCTCGGTGCACTAATAAGCAACATTCACAATGTCTCTCTGCCCCAAACATGAAAACCGCAAGACCTACGACGTGGCCAATATGGCATTACGCTGTGCACAATGCGTCTTCGCCATTCTTGTCCCAGCACTCTCCGGGGTGGACCTTGGTCGCTGGTCCCAATCTGGCAGTCACGCCGACTCACGCTGGATATACGCCGAAGTGGTATCCGTCGTGTCGATACTGACAGCCTGGGCCTGCGGCTTGAGACAGCGTCGCGCGCAATCCCGAGCCAGTTTGGGGTTTTGCGTCTTTTGGCAGGCTGTGCTCAGCTTGCTCTGGGTGGTCGTTAGCGCCGTGTTCGGGCAACTCGCCGCATCTGACTCGGCGGCTGCCGCGGAGGAGCTCGACGTTACAGGGCCGGCCGTCGGGATGGCCTTTGCAGCCAGCAGCTTCAGCACTCTCCTATGGGTTCTTGATGCCCTGGAGGCCTGCGCACGCTGCACGGCGGGCAGGGCGGAAAAGGTTGGTGCAGAGGAACAAGGTGGGCAGGGACTTGAGGAGGAGGGTGTACGGGTTATAGGGCTGGAGGGAACGGGGGAAACGGAGGAAACGGAGACGAGAGGGGCGCAAGAGATGAATGGCCAGAGCAGCGAGGCTCTGCCACCGTATTCCGAGGTAGAGTCGACGATAGAAATTGGCAAGAGTATCGCAAGAGTGGGGGTTTAATGTAAATGTTTACTTTAGTCTACAAAGCGAGATCTGGACAGTAGTCTGTCTCACAGACCTGTTTAAGTCAATGACGTACACGGCGACCGATAAAAGATAACGACGGCGATAACTGGCTGCGCCTTGCAGAACTGATGCGACGCTATAATAGTCATGTTAATTGGACTATAATACTTTAAGAATCATAGCAAAGACTTTATAATTGCATCTCGCCTCCTTGAATTGTTTCCTAGACCCTTGTCTGGCATATCAGTTGAGATCTCCAAGGGAGAAAGCGGGTAACTTACAGGGGTAACTTTCATGATGAACAGGGGTAGGCGCAGAGCTCAACCAATCAAATATTTTACGCGTCTGTCCGGCACAAGCCCCGGCACAAGCCTTGCTGCGCCCCATTGAAAATGGCGTGGGGGGACGCCGCCAAGGCCGCGTCATGGCACCTCTGGTCGGTTTCAATCCCGAACAACACCAAACTTTATTCTGCTATCCGAGTTGCGGATGCAGATGAACTACAATTGGATCCGAGAAAGCAATTGTCGATTCACATTTATCTAAAGCAGAAACCTTTAACCGATGCCTCCCTCCCTCCATCCCTCAATGCACCTCAATGGGCCGAGATTCTCATTCACTAGACCATAGTGTATGAAATGCAGGCCACCTCGTGCGCTCGCCCTCCAACAAACGTCGTCAAGAGAGCCCGAAGACACCACACCAAATCACGCGACGGCTGCCAGACATGCAAGGCGCGAAAAGTAAAGGTGCGTCGGAGAGAGAGAGATGGGGCTTGCTGAAAACTCGCAAAATCTGATTCCTGATTCAGTGCGATGAAGAGAGCTCTGGGTGCGGAAATTGCGTCCAGTTTGGCGTCCCATGCGATTTTCTGCCGCTGCTAGAAAGAAAGAGATGGGCGACGACCACTGCGACAACAGCAACATCGCAACAAGTCACCAAGCGACGTCGCGGCCGACCGCGAGCCGATTGGAGCGGTTGGGCCCTCCGCGCTCACGACGAGGCTCTCTCTCCTTCTTCTCCTTTATCTTCCCCTTCCCCTTCCTCTTCCTCTTCCTCCTCTAACCAGCTGCAAATCCGACCGTCGCAGCCGGTCCCTCTACACACACAGCTAAACTTGCAGCTAGCCGAGCTAGCCGTCGACGACCTCGCGCTGCTGCACCACTACCACACCGTCACCGCACCAACCCTCGGCGATGCGCGTCTATGGCGCGACGCCGCGCCGCGTCTCGGCCGCGAGCACCCTTGCATCTTCCACATTATGCTGTCCCTCTCCGCGTACCATCTCGCCCGGCTACGTCCCGCGACAACGACGAGCAGCGCATCCGCCGCACACTGTCGACGTCTTGCCGAGCACCACTACGAGGCCGCGGTGCGGCTGGCAGTGCCGATGCTGCCGCGCCTCGACGTCGTCAATTGCCAAGCGCTCTACGTTGTGACGGTGCTGATTTGCTTCACGGCGTTTGCGCGGGGCCCGTCGTCGTCGGGCGATTTGCTGCTGGTCGCGCAGCAGCAAGGTCTCGTGCCGTGGATGTCGCTGCTGCGCGGCGTGCGCTTCGTTCTCGAAACGGTGGGCTCTGCGACCGTTTTGTCAGGCTTTCTGGCGCCAGCGCCGGAGACGACGCCAGAGGCTTGTTATGCGTGTAGGTCTGGATGTGGGCGATGTTTTGCTGCTTTGGCCCAGCGCCGGGCATGGAATTGGCGCGAGACGCTGGGAAGAATTCAAGAGGTGGCCGCGAAAAAGACTTGCTCAGATGCTGCTTCTGCTGCTGCTGCTGCTGCTGCAAAAATATACGACGGAGCAATTAAGTCCCTCGTGAGATGCTTCGAGACAACCTTTAGGGAGGATGATGCTACTGTGCCCAAAACATGCACGCAGGGCCAGGTTCATGTCGTCATGGCGTGGGCTTATACGCTGGACCCCGACTTCGTTGCAAAACTGGCGGAAAGCGACGAGATTTCGCTCGTGCTGCTGGGGCATTTTGCGGTTTTAGTTCAAACGCTGGGCAGGTATTGGTTCATTAAGGGCTGGGGGGAGCATATACTGCGAGAAGTCAGGCAGATCCTAGGCGAGGAATGGGCTGACTTGCTCCCCTATGAATTTTACAACGCCAGATGCTAATAATCCTTTTAATCTTATAATATAAGATATTAATAAGTATAATATTAATAGTAATATTTTTAATTAAATAATATCTATTAATGATTAAATCGGTATTAATAGAATATAATATAATAATATGATTTTAAATAATACTATAGTTATAATTAGAAATTTAGTAGTTAGACTATCTATAGGAAATCTAATTAATGAAAATTTAGATCAAGCTAATACTATAAATAACGATAATTTATTATTAGGTAATGCTAATAAGTTAGCTATATATATAATTTTCATAGTTAGACTTATAGCTACTAGATTTTTATTAGGTAATTTAGCGAAACCTATCTTTACTTTAGTATAATAATAGCTTATTCCTAATCTATAGTTATCTATTTCTTAAGTAGTAAGTTAGGTTAAGATACTATAATATAATAATAAGTAATATCTTTATATAAGGTCTTATTAAAAGTAGAATTCCTAATACTAATTACTTAGTATTACTTAGATTAATTAGTAAAGATCTAGACTACCTAGCTATAAAAATACTTCTTCTTTAAGTACTTATTTATCTTTCTACTATAGGCTAAGATTACTTTAAATTACCTATAATTTTAGTAATGCTTTCTTTATAGATTATAACTAGCTTACTATAGTCTATAGTAATCTAGTTACGTAACCTCGTATCCTAATCTAGTAACTTATAGGCGCTTATCTAGTTATATCCTTAGGCCGCCTCCCTAGCTGCTTCATATCCTTTCTTTGTTCGTAATATTTAGCTAGATTTTATAACTAATAAATATATAATACTTAATAAACTTAAATAAATAAAAAGTTTATTTAATTTTAAAAAAATAACTTTTTTTAATTATTATACTTTTAATAGTATACTAGCTTTTTATTAATTAAAAATAAACTTAAACTATTACTAGTTTAAATAAAGAAAAATTTTTATTTTAATTGTCTTTTCGATTTTTTATATTTAAAATTATAGAAGTTACTAATAGGTATATAGATATAAAAGTATAGGTAAAAGATATAGAAGAAAAAGATATATATTAATATTATTATTTTATATTCTAACTAGGAGGAATTATAGCTTATTTATTAAGAAAAAAAAAGTATAATAACTTAGAAAAAACTCTAAATAATTCTAGATCTTTTTTAAAGATCTACTTTAGTAGATCTAGCTAGTTAGTTATAATATAAATACTAGACTAGTTTTAATTAACGTTTCTAAAGTACTTAGTAAGTAGTCTATACTCTATTTAGCCTATCTATAAGTTTTCTTAGTAGGAGACGTAAAACTAAGTATATAGCAGTAGTTTTGTAGCAATTGCTGACAGGCATGTGGAAGTAAGGGTGCAGGTAGAAGATGTGGAAGAAAAAGAATGTATTGTTGACGTTATTGTTCTTTTCTAATTAAGAGGAACTCTAGCTTATTTATAGAGAAAAAGAAGTCAAGTATAATGACTCAGAAAAAACTCTAGAATATTCTAGACTGTCCTAAAGGTCCACTTTTAGTGGATCTAGTTAGTTAGTTATCATATAACTGCTGAAGTGGCCTCTTCTATGAGTTTCCACCTTCTTCTATTGGCTCCAGTGGTTCCACAGGGTAGATTTAGCTGACGTCAGCGTCCCAGCAGCTGTAAGAGGCCCTTTATAAGGTGACCCACTTTTAACAAGTTTTAGTCTATTAGGTATAGGGTAGCTAGTAGTAACTTAATATAATATTATTAGGATAACTCGATCCTAAATAGGTTCTAAGTCAAATTACGTTTATAGGGTATTAGGGCGGCTTCTACTAGGCCTAATATAGAGGTATATAGTATAATTTAGTTATTATTTAGATTATCTATCTATTAAAATATAGAAAAGATACACTATATAAGATATAGCGCTATAATAAAGAGTAAGGAAAGATAAAGGAAAAACACACTATTAAGCTAGGTGTAAAGGTAAAACTTACCTCTAAAGGCAGCTTCTATAGAGGTTCTAAAGGCAATTAATTACCTTTTAGGAAGTTAGAATGTTTATTAGTTAGTATATATAGCTGCTAAGGGTAAGCGCCTAGTTAGTAGCTATATCCCTAATAGCATAGAGGGCCTAGTACTATTTAGGTGCTTTAACTAACTAAATTCTCCTATAGTTATAATACTATTATTATTAGGAGAGTTTAATCCTAAATAGGTTCTAAGTTAAATTATATATATAGAGTACTAAGGCGGCTTCTACTAGGCCTAATATAGAAGTATATAATATAATTTAGTTATTATTTAGATTCTCTAACTATTAAAATATAAGAAAGATATATTATATATAAGATATAATACTAGAATAAAGGTAAGGAAAGATAAAGGAAAAATATAATATTAAGCTAGGTATTAGAGTAAAGCTTACCTCTAAAAGCAGCTTTTATAGAGGGCTTAAAGGCAATTAATTACCTTTAAGAAGCTAGAATATTTATTAGTTAGTGTGTGTAGCTACTAGGGCTAAGCATCTAGTTAGCGGCTATATCCCTAATAGCGCGGCTAGCCTAGCGCTATTTAGGTACTTTAACTAACTAAATCCTCCTATAGTCGCAACAG